AAAGATGCATACATTTATGGAAAACTGTTGTATATGTTTAATTCATTCAACAAAAGTACTAATCAGACTTTCTAGCAGAACCATTTCATCCTTCAGAATTCAATTTAAATAGCATCACCTCAGAGGTTTAAAAATTATTTCAAATGCTGGAATTCATCACCTATCAATCAGTCCTTCATTGACCACCTACTCTGTGATCAATAGCGTGTGGGGCAAATACAGGAAGACACAGTTGGTGGCTGCCCCATGAAATGTGTGACTAATGGGAATCAGCAGTTTCGAAGTGTCTTCAGGGAGAACTGATTTTCCCATCTATTTTCTAAAAGGTCTGAGAATGGATATTAACTAAACTGAAAGGGGGGAATGTGACCCAGCAAAGAATAGCAGGGAGGCAAGAGAAAATGTGAGTGGTGGTCTCTAATGGAAGGGTTCAGAGTACACTAACTGATACTCCATAAGCAACAGTATCTCCTGGCCTGCAGTTTAAAAGGAAGAAAAAACCCCGGGATTTATGGAATATTCAGGTGGCCACTAGGGGATGTCAGAACGCTGACATCTTTCAGCATGACTCCGGTTTCCCTAGGGAAATCTGGGTCTGAGATTGAATGTAGTTCAAGTTGACCAGAAATAACTTCTCCTTTTCCAGTAAAATTGTGAGAATGTGACTTAGGTCACACGGTTAACAGGAGACCAGGGATTTATGAGTCCCAGGTCATACTGCTATCCAAGAAAGAAATTAGTTCCTGCTATCCTCCCAGCAGGAACTAATTAGCAAGCTAGAAAAAAAATTACAAAAGTAAAATGACACCAACAATAACAACAAAGTCAATTAACCAGACAAAAATTTTAGAAGCTAGAAACATAGTTCAGAATTTAAAAAATTTTTTAAACAGTATGATCCTGTTTTTTTATCTTAGAAATGTTAAAAAAAATGTCTATACATGGAGAAAAACTTAGAAATACATATATCAAAAATCTTAACAGGAGTATTTGGAGGTGGTGGGATTATGTTCTTGTTTTCCTCATTTTTTTCCTCTGCTTTATTCATTTTCTATAATTTCAAGATGTCACTTAGAGCTTACCGTGTCAGACATGACATTAACACTTTATCTAGATAATGAGAGGTGAATGTGTAGAAGTGTTCAGTCTCCCCGACCCTCACCCCCAGTCCAGCAAAAAAGGAGAGAGAAGGGCCGGCGAGTGGCGCGTTGGTTAAGAGCTGGCTTGGGACACCAGCTCTGATCAGAAGGGCCCCAGTTCGGATCCCACATGAGGGCCAGTGACGCTGCGCCCTCTACAGCTAAGATGGCGAACAACAGCTCGACCTGGAGCTGGGCTGCCCTGAGTCACCTGCAATGGCGTAGGCTGCAGCCCGTGCTGCAGTGGGCTGCCGGGAGCTACGGTGAGCGGCTGGCAGCCAGCGTGAGTGGCTGGCCAATGGCCGGTGAGCCACTGCCTCACCAGGGAAGAGCGCAATGATACCAACATGGGCAGTGAAGTGACGTCCTCCACAGCTAGATTGAAGAACAAAAGAACAGCAACTTATCTATCTGTTCCCCTTCCCCAACTCCCCAACACTGTTCCCCTCCCCCAAATCCCCAATAAAATATTTTTTTTAAAAAGAGAGAGAGAAGAAAAGCTTGGTGGAGGGAGAGGCACCGGAACAAGGCTCAGTGGGGTTTGGGGTAAGAGAGGGCTGTTAGGAAAATGGGGGGGAGTGGGAATTTTAATAAGTTTAACTCTGAATTGTATTTTCAATCCACTCTGGGGTTTTCATAAAATATAAGGGTTTGAATTATGCTGATACTGCCTTTTGTGGTGGGTAGTTCTTTTATAGAAATGTGACCTTGAGGTTGAACAGCATGGGTTCTGACTTTAAAAAGGTTCAAAAGCAATACTGCATTTTATCAAATACAAAATACCACCTCAAATTTTTTATATATATATATATAGCTGAATCCCAAGAGATCTTGAACATCTACTAATCAAAAAGCAGCATAGACCCGGACTATAAATCATCCTCCATCTAATTATTTACCTGCCCTTCATCCACATTTCCACCACAATATAACTAATCTATTGAATCTGTCTTGATAAAAACGTATTACATGAAATTTATGAGCTGCTTTATGCAGGAGTTATTTCATACTTAACCAAGTATGGTATCGGCACTTCAAACAATTGCAGATGTCTATTTTGGGACCGTTCAAAGATCACTGAGCTCTTCAGTGGAGAACCCGCCCCCCGCTAACTCCAGAGCCTCAGCTTTCCCTATCATGCTACTCTGAACCTATGCCAAACATACATAGTGCAAATTCGCTGGGGTAGAAACACGTCGGGGAGCAGGACAGGGCTGCCGGCAGAGCCCTGTCCATTGGGTAAGGTCCCTTGCTTCGGTGGCTCTTATGGGATGTTAAGAAGCAGTTAAAAAAACCAATGTTTTGCAACAAAACAAAAACCAGATAAAGAGGACTTCACCAAAATCTAAAACTTTTGTGCTGCAAACGATACTATCATGAAAGTGAAAAGACAACCTACAGAATGGAAGAAAACATTTGCAAATTACATGTAATGAGACTTGCATGCAGAGTACTTAAAAACTCTTACAGCTCAATAAAAAAATAATCTAATTTTATTTTATTTTTTATTTTTTTTAAGCTGAGCCATCCTGCTACCTGTTGGCAGCTCACGGCTGCTCAGCTCGGGCTGGACTAGAACCGCTGTTGCTCAGAGCTCAAACTCTTGAGCGAGCTCTTAACCAACTGAGCCACTCGGCCGGCCCTCAATAATCTAATTTTAAACGGGCAAAAGAATTAGACATTTCTCTAAAAGATATGCAAATGGCCGATAAGCACATGAAAATACGCTCCACGTGACTTATTAGGGAAATGTGAATCAAAGCCACGGAGATACTTCACGCCCAGTAGCCTGGCTGGAATCAGAAACACGGACAGTAGGGCCGGCCGAGTGGCGCAATGGTTAAGAACTGGCTTGGGACGCCAGAGGGCCCCGGTTCGGATCCCACATATGAGGGCCAGTGACACTGCCCTCTACAGCTAAGATGCTGAACAACAGCTCAGCCTGGAGCTGGGCTGCTATGAGTCGCCGGCGACGGCGTAGGCTGCAGCCCCTGTGGCAGTGGGTTGCCATGGGCTACCGTGTGTAGCCAGCAGCCAGCGTGAGCGGCCAGCAGCCGCAGTGAGCGGCCGTCCAGAAGCCGGCGACTGATCTGCGTCGCCTGGGAAGAGCGCAATGATGGTGCCAACTTGGGCCAGTGAAGCAACGTCCTCCACAACTAGACTGAAGAACAAAAAACAACAGCAACTTGTCTGTTCCCCTTCCCCCAATTCCCCAGCGCTGTTCCCATCTCCCCAATTCCCCAATTGAAAAAATCTTAAAAAAAAAAAAAACACACGGACAATAACAAGTGCTGACAAGAATGTGGAGAAATCAGAGCCCTCATCATACGTTGCTGGGGGGAATGTAAAACGTTGCAAACATTTTGGAAAAGCTTGGCAGTTCCTCAAAACATTCAACACAGCTGACATATATGATCTAGCACTTTCACTCCTAGGTATATACCCAAGAGAACTGAAAACGTAACACACAAGAACACTTGGACATGAATGTTCATAGCAGCATTATTCATAATAGTCAAAACGTGGAAACAATCCAAATGTCCACCCACTGAGAATGGATAAATATGGTATAACCATAAAATGGAGTATTCTTCTGCCATACAAAGGAATGAGTACCGATACACACTTCGTCTGATGCACCTTAAAAAGAAGCCAGTCACAAGACCAAATATTTTATGATTCTATTTATATATGAAATGTCCAAATAGGCAAATCCAGAGATGAAACGTAGTTACAGGTTGCGAAGTCCTGAAAGGGGAGTGGGGAATGACTTAATGTGTACACAGTGATGTAAATGTTCTGAAATTAGATTTTGGTAATGGCTGCACTGCACAACCCTGTGAATGTACCAAAATAGTGTATATGTTAAATGGATGAATTGCATATGAGTCAGATTTCCAAAAAGTTGGTTTAAAAAAAATCAACTGGTGGTGGTCACATACATGTCTTGCATCACGGATAGGGAAGAGGCTTGATCACTGCACTGTACACCTGAAGCTGATGTTGTATAATATTGTATGTCAACTACAACTATATAGTCATGGGACATGGAGTATAGTGTGGGAATGGAGTCAAGGGATTTGTAATAGATATGTATGCTATTGGGGGAGGGAGGTTGTCACTTCGAGGGGTAAAAAGTATAACTATTGCACTGTGTTGTACAGCTGAAANGTTGTCACTTCGAGGGGTAAAAAGTATAACTATTGCACTGTGTTGTACAGCTGAAACTAATTCTAAAAAATGTGTATTTCATAATAAAAAATAATAAAAAAAATCAACTGGTGGAACTACAGGAGGGCCCTCACTTCCAGCTAAGCATTTTTTAAAACGCCACTTTGACTTCCTGTTCCACAGTGCCACCTTTCTTGTCGCTCTCTTTCTTGCAGGAGGGGTGCACTACTTCCTCATACATCCTAATTTCACGTAATTACTAAAACATGGTAAAAATAGAAAAAAAATCCAGTGCTTTGGGAAATGTAATATATTACACTATAGCTCACACTGTGGCTATGAATTGAACACAATTATACAATTGTGTTCTAACTTAGGTCAAGTGTCTACAAGTAATTCAAATATGCTCAGTATTTAAGGAAACAGGAACACATGTAGATAAATTCAAAGTAATTCGAAGAGTAATTCAAAGAGTAAATTCAAAATGTGCAGCTTTATATAAACATTTTACAAAACAAATTTTTTAAACACTTAACGAAGACATACACCATAAATTCATTTAAGTGACCTAATATAAGAACTGCTTTGGCAATGTCTGCAATACACATTATGAGTTTTTTCATTATACACACCTCATTTTAAATCTTTCCTTCTTGATGTTCCCCCATTGGAAAATAAAGCCAATGTGACTTTCAGTACAATTCATTTTATTATTTTAGTGCAAGAAAAACATTTCCAGGTTTATTTCCAATTTTAGTTTCAAAACAAATTGACCGGTAACTTACTGTTTTTACTATCTGGTAAATGTGTAAGAATTTTTTAAAAAGTGAATCAACTCATTGGTAGTACTCCAAATTCAATGCATGAGAACCTTTTCTAAAGTACTTTTTTAAACTGAAGAACAATCTAAAAATATGTTCATTTGTAACACTTGTGTTAAAATAATGTATTTCAGTTGATTACAGATATCATACATAGCACGTAAAAGATATTACATTTTTCTTCAAGTACCATTTCTTTCGTTCTGTTCAGTTTGGTGTTTCCAACCATTTATTCCACAAGTCAATCAAAATACAAACGCATGCAAATAAAACAGGCTATTGAAATGAAATAAAATTTAAGAACAAAATTTGGAATTAACTTATGAGGTAAGTTTTACTTTCATGTGTTCAAATATCTTTGAACACATGATAAAATACAGTTGTAAGAATGCCTCTCTTTGTAAAGCGTATTTAAGATGCATATTTTCACAGAGCTCTTATTTCTAATAAGCCCAAAATCAAGTTCAATAAAATTCCATGCTTCCTAGATTAAATACCATGCAGCATAGGATTTAAAAATGTTAACTTTGAAAGCAGAATTCACTTATATTTTGCTTTTCTGCCCTATTAAAGTTCATGAAAACCACTTGATATTATGCACTTAACTTGAAATAAACTAACAAGATTCCAACATAAACGTAAATATCTGTAACTAGCTGAATCCATCCACCCCCAAAGTAGTGGGCAAAATGTTCAAAGGAAAAGGCATCCAGAGTGTATGTGACTGGACACTGAGAAGCCAAGCTTCCCAGACCTAACGCAGACAGTGAAGTGGCTAAATTCACACACCTTCTTTTCTGCATAAGAAAACTCTCAGATCTTTCTACACAACTTAGCGTTCTTAAAGCAAGTTAAAGCGGCCCATCAAACTGAAATATTCCGTATTTCCCAGTGGTCAGCCAGTTGGGCTCAGAAGCTGCGAGCTGTTCACCCTGCCCGGGCTGCAGACCCACCTGAATCTCAGCTTTTAGTGTTCGGATACTGCAGAGAGGGGCAGGATGAAAGCCCGTCAAGGCCTGATGAAATGGAACAGTAAACTCCCATTTTCTGTCACCTGTCAACTTCCTGTAATTCAAATCGCCCTTGAATAGAATTAAATGTGCCTTCTGTAGTTCAGCATATAAGTCAGGGGCAACCTGAGACATGGCACAGAATTCATGAGGGAGCGTCCAAAATATGTGATCATGGTAAACCCATCGGCCCGTTTTAACGTAGTTTTCCCAGTCAGCCCCACACTTGGACACCCACTTATGATTAGAATGTTTCACTTCATCAATTAACCAGTTAAAATCATGAATAGTAGTATCAGAAACAAACCATGGAATAGTTTTCCCATAGAAATGAATCTCGGTAGCCAGATTAGAAAACAATAAGAAGTCAGCTAGTATTAAATCTGTAATAAGCTCAAATCCAGAATTATCCAGAACAATATCCACTCTAGTTATAGATTCTTTTTCTCTTGTTTTCTTGCAATTGCTAAGCAATGACCAAAGATGTTCCATGTCGTTCACTAAAATGAAAGGTTTTAGGTCTTCCAAATAATTCATGATATTGGTCTTCTGAGAACTGTTTTCCCCACCTGTTAGAGACAGGTCACACTTATTTCCCCACAGTGAAATCTGAAAAAGAAAAAGTACAAAATGTTTGTCCATCTTTTGAATAACCAACAAAAACTATTATGTAGGATGTGGGGGGAGGGGTTGCTAAAAGTATTCATAATCATTTTTACAAAACTCTTAAAATGTTTATCAAATTTTGATGCTTTGTGTAATAATGCAAAGACTGTTTACATGAGGCTGTATAAAAAGGTAAAACAATAAAACTTTTAATTAATCTGTATGTAATAAACTTTTAAAAACTGGTTTGAATGGGGCCGGCCGAGTGGTTCAGTTGGTAAGAGCTTGCTCAAGAGTTTGAGCTCTGAGCAACAGTGGTTCGAGTCCCTGCCCGAGCTGAGCAGCCACTAAGCTGCCAACAGGTGGCAGGATGGCTCAGCTAAAAAAAAAATTTTAAAAACTGGTTTGAATGATTTTAATGACTCATATCTAATCAGAATAAGTTTTTGCATCTTGCAGTTATGAGAACATGATTTGATGCTGTAAAAAGCTACAATGTTTACTTCACAATCCAGAGTCAAGAGAAAAATTAGTTTTTCCTCCCAGTACTGCCCCACCCCCAAACTGCTCAATTTCTTTTACTTAAATCCAACCTCTCTGGGATTTAGTTCTCTCAATTGTAAAAATGAAGAAACTGGACAAGGTAATGTCTAAAGACCCTTCCAATTCTAATAAACTATTATTCTACTTTAAATTGAAATAATACTCTAGCTTATTTTGTAGGAAATGGTATACAGCCCTAGGTTGTTTTTTTGTTTTGTTTTTTGGGGGAGTTTTTTTTTAGCTGTTAACTAAAATATTAGGAATGCCAGTTCTGAAATCAGATAGACCTGGGCTCAAGTCCCAGCATTTCCAACTAATGACCATTGGTAACTTGCACGTGATCTCTAAGGCTCAGGTTACACTATTGAAAAATAAGATAATAGTACTTCCCTCACAGTTATTGTGAGAATTAATTGACATAATGGGTGTAAGTATTGTAGCCAACAGCTGGCATACAGAGGTACTCAATAAATATTAGCCAAAACAAACTCTATTCTTGTGTTTCAAAATAGCAGGCAAATGCATGTTTCAACCAAGAATATTATTTTAAAAAGAAAAATAAGTGAATAGATTTTTTTAAAAGAATTAGTCCAAATCTGATGAAGAAATACACGTGCACAATGGCGTAGATGATGGCCGTCCCCAGCTGAAGTCAGGGTCTCTGCTGGCCTCCTGTACTTTTCCTTCACACCATCTTCCAGTCTGTAATTAACTCCATACTGTTTTGTGCCCTATTTGATTGTCTGTATTCCGTCAAGTTTACAAGGTATATGACAGCAAGGCACTGGTCTGTTTTTCTCAGTATCGCATGCCCACCATCAAGAACAGTGTTTGACAGCGGAGACGCTGAAATACTCGTGTGGACAGTGACAGAGTTCTGTGGCTTTTAAAACCAGATCAGTATTCTCTGCAAACTAAAGCAGCAGCTTCCGGCTGCTCGCAGGTAGTAAACCTGCTGCTTATCATGAGCACAACCTTGGCTGAGTTTACTGGGGAGCAGAGTGGCAGTTTGGGGTAGCTGGCCAAATTAGATGACAGAAACTAGGTTGGTACTCCTCCGTCTTCACAATTTATTATACTTATAGGACAAAGAACATATTCAAAGACTATTATTCCGTGAAAGAATGGGCTAGCTAGGGGTAAAGAGTAACCTGCTGACTTTCTTCTTTCTATCCTTAATTCTAAGCTAAGCATAAAGGATAGTTCAGCAGGGGAAAGGGAACTATGTTTATTAACAATACTCTGACGACTTCTCTTCCAACTCAAAATAAGCCTGTCCCTCTTCATCACTCAGCTTACTCTATTTGCCCTAAAAGTTTCATCAGGACTTTGTCATATCCCACAACCTGTCCTCACAACCTGAAGCCTCTACTCTCAAAGTATATCCGAATCTGACGACACGTAACCCCTCTTACGCTACCAGTGTGCTCCAGTCATCCTTCATCTGAGTCATTTTAATAACACATCTCCAGTTTCTACCTTTGCGTCCCTTCAGTCTGTTCTCAGAAGTCATCCTTAAAATAAGTCATTTAATTATTCCTCTGACCCAAACTCTCTAAAAGCTTCCCATTTCATTTTGGGACTCAAACCCAAGTCCTTGCCTTTCCGTGGCCCTTCCACACCGTCTCGTCCGTCTCATTTCCGACAGAACGTCCCCGCCCCCCGGAGTTTCGCACACCTGGCAGGCTCCCAGCTCAGGGCCCCAGCAGGGGTGCTGCACCCCAGACATACACTTGACCCGCTCCCGCCTTCCCCCAAGTCTCCGGCCCTTCCCGGGCAGCCCCACTTCACGCTGCAGCCCCTGCCTCCCTCCCGCAACAGTCCCTGTTCCCCTTCTCTGCTTTATTTCTCTTCATAACACTTTCTGACAACTCTTCCTGGAAGTGAGGGCTGGGGATACTGCTGTGTAGAACTACACATTTTCAAATAGTTCCGAATCTAGTACTGTAAATTTAGGGATGTTCTGAATGAGAGTTGAAAACTAAACTTAATACAATATATTGGGTTGTCGGAAAAGTCATGACATATTTTTTCTGTTTTTTGTTGCAAAAAAGCGTCATGACTTTTCCGACAACCCAATAGATGAAAACATGTGACAAAACTATATTAAATCACATTTAAACAGGCCACGGACCACCCGAGTGTTTCCACCTGATGATGACAGCAGCTTCTGTGTTCCAGGCTCCATGTTCGACACTCACAAGAATGAATCTAGTTTAATTTTCACATCAGATTATGAAGTGCACAATATCATCCTCATTTAACGGATGAAGAAAGTGAAGCTCACAGAAATTAAGTAACTTGCCTCAGATCCAACCACAAATAAGCAACAAAGCCGGCATTCATGCCAAGTCAGCCTGGGCCAACCACATGACTGTGACGTATTCTCTCAAGAATGACAGAAGCCATGAAGCCACTAAAATCCTGTGCCTCTAAAATCACCTCCAGGTGGAGCAGAAGAGATTTCAAAACACATTTTCAGAGATTAAGTGGATTTTTATCTTTTGAATAACGCTATTATTAAAATGATAAAAAATGATCAATTATAACTCAAATGACAATGTACATACATGCTTTGTTGTTAAATGTGTACCAGCTTATTTTTCAACTGTTTTAAATAAATACACTCAAGAGATTATCACATTTACCTGAAGAAGTTTAAAAAACTCATGTTTCAGCTGATTTTCATCTAGGTCTTCAATAGTTTTCATCAACTCTTGCAGGTGAGTACATAAAGCAATGATAGATTCCTGTGACTCAAAGAAGTTTTGTTCTTTTGATTCTCTAAATACATCAAAGTCATCGATTGGTGGACTAAGGTAGGAGAAAAACGTAAGTAAAATATTTATGTAATTCTGTAGCTTTTAAAAAATATTTGGGTAATTAATCATTAAAGGTAACAGTAGCATTCAGTTTCAAAACTACTGGTAATAGACACTAGATATAACATGGATTGAATTATACAAAAATAATAATCAAAGTACACAAATCAAATTACACAAAAATAAATCCCCCGAACTCATTTTAATTAACTGTCAAAGTTCCCTAATCAAATATTTCACTGGAAGTACTACATAATTAGTGACTATATCCATAATTATTTACCCAGCAGGGTTTCCAGGGCAAAAGAGTTACGAGAAACAAAATTTCAAGACGATTGCTTTGGTTTAACAACTTTTTTTGGTGTGCTCAATGTGGCAGAGTTCCAGGTAATAAACATGGATGTAAAGAGTATTTGAATAGTAATCATAAATAGAGTCAAACACAGAGTATTGTGGGAACCCAATGACTACTTGAGATAAATCAGACAATACTAATGTAAATTTTATTATAATGATAAATTTTGATTATTTATGTGATTTTTTTTTTTTTGGCAACTTTTACTCCCAAGTTGACTCTGACCAACGGTAATGTATGTGTCGTGGCTTCATCTTTATGCTGTCAAACGAGATCTCAAATAATATGAATACTGGCCTAAAGAAAATATAACTGAGAAGATATAAATACTAACATAGTAGCCTTTACAGAATCAAATATAAAAGACATTCGGCTTATATGATCTTCTAAATTCGTTTTTTCCATGGGTCATCCTGAGGGTAAAAATAATATGACTGAGTTTGTAGGACTGATTAAAAAACAAAAAACATACCAGCATTTATACATCCAAATGATTGCTGCCTCCTTCCAGTCAATCACCTTGGGAGCTACACCCTTATTCCAGGGATGCTGCCATTGCTCAAAGTACTTTTGGAATTCCTCTTTTGGAATTTTCTTCAGAACCTGTGGCGCATTATCAAACGTCCTGTCAGCGATAGCATATCTTCCTCCTTTGGTGTTAATTTCTTTTTGGAAACAGCCAAAAGTCACTCAGAGTCATTTCAGTAGAATGAAGTGTGTAAATCAAATGGAGTGAAACATTTTTGGTCAAAAATGAGGAGTGACTAAAAAATAATGAGACTAATATTCTTTTTGAGGCTTTAAACTGGCTTTGAAAGAAGTGCCAAAGAATTAAGAGGCATTTTTAGCAATGGCAGCATTGCTGACATACATCAGTCTCTCAAGGTGACTTAAAAGGATAAAAATTATTTAGCAGCACAGGTTCAAGTGTAGAGGTCAGCAAACTACAGCTTGCAGCAGACCCAATCTGGCCTGCCACCTGTTTTCTATGACCTGCAGGCTAAGAATGGTGTTTACATTTCTGAATGGTTGGAAACAATCAAAAGAATATTTTGTAACACACAAAATTAAATTTTCAGGGTCCATAAATGAAATTTTATGAGAATACAGCCATGCTCATTCATTTAGGCACCGTCTAGAGCTGCTTTTGCCCTGCAATGACAGGGCTGAGTGCCTTCAACTAAGACCATGAGGCCCCCACAGCCTAAACTATCTCCTATCCAGCTCTTTAGAGGAAGTTTGCCGACCTTGTTGTAGTGTTTTATTACAAATCATTCATTAGTTTAAAGTCACACCTCATTAAGAATGAGCTTATTTCTTGTATTTAAAAGAGTAAACTCACATAACTGTATATGACTTCTGATTTTAAAATGTTTGCTATTTTACAATCTACTAAAGCTGTATATGTGCATATACTGTGAGCCAGTCATTCATTCCTAGATGCACACCCAGCAGAAATACACACACACACAGACATTCACCGAACACGTGTGTTTGAATGTTTGTAGCAGCATTCTTCAGAATAACCCCAAACTGGAAACTACTCAAATATCCACCACCAACAGAACAGGTAAACAGTGTGATATACTCATAAAATGCAATATTGTGCAGCAATAAAAATGATTTACAATTATATGCAAAGAAGATGGATGAATCTCACCAAGATAATGCTGAGTGAAAGAAGCCAGGCCCAAAACCACATCCCGTATAATTTCATTTACATGAAGTTTAAAAACAGGCAAAACACAGATCAGGATCGTGGTTATCTTTGAGGGGCAGTGATGGCAGTGACTGGAGGGAGACTCGGGGTGTTTCTGGGGTCCTAGTAAGGGTCTGCCTCCTGATTGGGGCGCTAGGGACATAAGCGTATTCTGGTAAAGACTGCTGAACACTTAATACGTGCGCACTGTCCTGATGTACGTTACACTTTAGCAAAATCAACATAAACACGCCTTAAAGCTAATGTGTACTCTGAGAGCCTATCAAAGTTTTTAAAAATCCTTCTTTGGTCACTTTGGAGCTGTCACTGACACAGAACAAGGAATGCTGACAAACTGTGGACATCTGAAACTTACTTCAGTGGTAGTTCTGCTGTAGGGCAACAGTTCTTTTTTTTTTTTAACTAAAGTTTATTGGGGTGACAATGGCTAGTAAATTACGTAAGTATCAAGTGTACAATTCTGTAATACATCATCTATATATCATTCTTTCTTATACTGACCTAAAATCTGAGTTCTGGGGCGATATAATACAAAGGCACAGACCTTCAAATACCTGCCACAGAGATCACCTCATAAGAGGTCTGCATCCATGGCTAATATTCTCATTCCTGGAACTTAGAGTGAAATTTTGCCTCTACCCCTTTTTACAAGCTGTTCCTGAACCAATAGCTATCAACCTAGGCTGCCCAGACTCTCCAAGGTGTAAAACGAAAAACTGATGCCCAGGCCCCAATGCAACACAGACAATTTAGATCACAGTATTTCTTTTAATATGATTTCAAAATCTGCATGTAAAAAACAAACAAACAAACCGCCCCAACTAGATTATAAACGTGTAGCCAGGTTTGTGAATTTCTGCCCTAGATTTTTTTTTTATTCTCTGAACCGGGTCCACCTCTAAAATCCAACTCAGAAACGGCATTCCTTTTGCCTTTCCAACTTCCAAACTCCACCCACCAAACCTTTTCAGGGTGCTACCCAGACTTTCAACAATTCAGCAGCTTTGGCTAGTACCACAGACAGATTCCAAAATTATGAAACTACCACCCAGAGCTTCAGGCTAACCTTAGCTCCAGACTGTTGCCTTACAGCTTCGTCCTCAACCGCGCCCCCACACCAACCCCTGACCTAAGGAGGTCATGAGGAAGTGTCTCGGAATGCTGAGACCTGGTGGAATGATATCAGTAAAGCTACCTCAAGGGAATGTCTCGGAAAGTTGAGACCCAACGGAATGATGTCGATTTTCTCCCTTACTTCATGGCCACAGCATAGCAGCACCATCCTGGGGGTTGTGTGTGTAGGAGTATGAAGGCACAGCAGGTGTTGGAATACAACGGGGCTGGTTGATGGAAATCAGCCATAAGGCACTTTTCACACGGACTTGAGAAAAACCAAGTTTCATTCACTTCTTTGAAGTTTCTTAATAAAAGCCACGTGTTGGCCCGATTCGGGGCTCAGCTCAAGAGAGAGACTGCAGCCCCCTGGCCCCGCTTTAACTCTATAATTGACTCTTGTGTTTCTTTAACCCTGCGCCGCCCCCTCACTCCCCAGCACTTTTGCTGCGCTGGACGCAGCACCGGACAGACATCCAACTCTACTACTTGGAAAAAGATAGTTGATGAGGGCTCTAATCTAATTTACACAGACCAGGTTCAAATACTGGCTCTCCCGTTTACTAGTTATGGAACCCTGGGCAAGTTATTAACCTCTTTGAACCTGTTTCCTCAAATGAAAAATGGAAACCAAAATTACACCCACATTTCTCTGAGTTGCAAAGTAGCTGGAACATGGCTGGTATTCAATACATGGCAGCTATACTAAAGACTAGTATCAGCTATAGTCTTTTGTTTGGGTGTCTTCTGTGTGCCAGGCAGCGTGCTAGGTTTTTAATACATAACGTATTCTGCTTTTAGAGCAGGAGTCCCAAAACATACTTATTCAGCAAAAACACCAAATTGTGATTAAAAATAATAATTTATAAAGATTAAGACAGAAAAAGCTAATGAATAGACTCAAATTTATGCACATTTCCCCAAATTATTTTTTTTTACTATTAGTGCTGCTTTGATTGATTGCTTTAAATTATCCTATGCTACGTTTAGGAACAGATACCAAAGGATTCCTCTTATTCAGCAAACTTGCATTTCTGTAATCTGTGAGCTAAAAGGACGATCCACGTTACATTTCCTTCTACTCTATGAATCAGTTCTACAGCAGAATTTTTTTAGGAAAAATTACATTAGTACAAACAAGCTTATAAAAAGTTATTCAGAAGATGTGTTTTAACTTTCAGTCTTTTTCTAATCTACCCATTAAAATAAAAGGACTGAAGATTAAAATAGCGCATAAAATAATGCAGTCATTCACTCTTCTGTTGATTCCTAATACCAAATTAATTGACATATCTATTTTTATAAATAAAATTATGTGCTGTGTCCCATCTTGATTTTTTATATAATTATTTCAGATTAATATTTTTTGCACAATTAGTACAGTTTGTGTTACTCTAGAAGAAAAGTAAGTCTATACAAGAATTTTTAATTAGCTCCTACTTTAGATATTTAATCTTAGGTCTGGGCTAGGCAAGTGGATTATAATTGCCAAGAATCTATTACAGCGATAACATTTACAGAAATGCCCAACAGTGCCATTAATATCTGCTGGAAGTAAATTCAGGCTTCAACTGGTTTTTATTTTTAAACTTATCATTTTATAATTTTAAACAAAGCATAAATTATCTAAGCATTTATTTGATGGTTATATACTTACCTCTGGATAACTGCTTCATGAATTCTACGATACATGTAGCATTCTACAAACAACCATGGTGAGTAGAACCACCTTGGTTTTCCATCACTTTCATTTAAAAGACTCTGTTGATATTCTAGGTACTGATTCCATATGTCAGTATCAGCAAACTTCTCAACCAAGGGAATAATTGGCTTATCTGTTTGCATTTCATTCCGTAATTTAGAAAGAAGAGAAATAGCTTTCTTTTCAGCTTCCATGCCTTTCTGCAGAAATATGAAACATTTATATATATAAAATAATCTATATATAATTTTTATGTATAATTTATATATAAATATATAAAGATGAATAATTCCTCTATTTTTATGTACCTTTATGTACATTTTTATGTACCTAAACTTAAGAAGGAAAAAAATATTATATTTCAAAACTACATTTTATGTCCTTACAAACTATTATAAACATCTAAAATTTAGAATTTTTTTTTTTAAAGATTTTATTGGGGAATTGGGAAAGGGGAACAGCCAATTGCTGTCCTTCAATCTTAGTTGTGGAGGGTGCAGCTAGCTCAGCTCCAAGTCCAGTTGCCATCCAGCTGCCTGTCGGCAGCTCAGCTCAAGGTGCCATATTCAATCTTAGTTGAGTTGTGGGCAAGCATGGCCCACCATCCCATGTGGGAGTGGAACTGGAAACCTTGTTGTCAGGAGCACATGCTGTCACCAGCTGAGCTATCCTGCCACCTGTTGGCAGCTCAGCAGCAGCTCAGCTCGGGCACAGCTCACTGGCCCATGTGGGAATTGAACCAGCGACCCTGTTGCTCAGAGCTCACGCTCTTAACCAACTGAGCCATTTGGATGGCCCTAAAATTTAGAATTCTTAAGTTGCAAATCAAAGCATGCACAGAGATCTCATATCAACATTATCCTGCCTTATCTATTCTGCCTTTTTTTTTTTTTAAGTTTCATCTTATGAACTAGAGTCCTTTCATTATCTTCAGGTTGAATGACCATTATCAGAGGGAAAACTGTTTACTATGTTTCTGTTAAAGAGTTAATAAAAAAATTAAAGTTCAAACACATTTCTTACCTCTCCATGTTTCTCAAAAAATTCACTTTTATGTCGATGCAATGTATCAATAGCCTTGGTTAAGATCTGTGGTATTCTGTCTTTAATTGTAAGATATGCAAACGATCTAGAAAAGAGTCATGTACATAGTATATTATTACTTAGTAGCATTAATTCTAGGAGATTGGTCATCTTTCAGTCTCTGGATCATCTCATTCAAATTAAAATTCCTTTTCATACAGCCATTGTAAGGAAAACCAGCACTGTTTGGCTACTATATTAAGGCATAGGAAAATATGAAAACTTCTCTCTGGTATGTCTTGGAAGCTAAGCAGTCTTTGTGCCTCTAATCCCAGCTTCTCCCCTGGAGTCTGCTTAATCATTCTTATCTTTCCCATTCTATTCCTTTTATTTTCCTTAATCAGAAACTAGTTTAACAATGTGATAGGAGAAAAAAAGAATCACCCTAAAAATCAAACAGGCTCTCCTCCCAGGTCAATTACTTACTAGGTGACTTCACCTAGTTAGACACATGAATGAGGCAACGGATGTAAAAGTGCCTGGAGGACTGACTCTGATGTGCTAGAGAAACATAAAGAATGAAAGATATTTATGACCTGCTGCTTTCTTTTCTCTCTTAGCCAATTTTATTCTTTTCAAAGGCTTTTCCTGCTGCCTTCTCCACCTGCACTCCTTCCATCCTGTTTTCTCCCTCAACAAAATTAAGGCAAGTTACCATCTCACGCCCCCAACAATAACAAAACAGACTTTCTAGAAGTGTCAAAAAAAGCTGGAGATTAAGAAAAACTTGAATACACTTGCATAAAAAAATTAAAGATAGCCTTGATTTTAGACATACAAAAACCAAACTTTACAGATCATTTTATATGTAATTAGTTTTTTCAGGAAATATTGGGTCGGAAAAGTCATGACGCATTTTTGCAACGAAAAACATAGAAAAACTATGTCATAACTTTTCCAACAACCCAATACATGATTCACTTCGAAAAAGACTTTAGTAAGTGGTGAAATTCTGTGCAGTTTTTAAATAGAGAACACAGAATGTAGCTGATCAATTCATTTATATCTTTAGCTCACCAAAGTAAAAACGAAGAAAGTTGACACAATAATTTTGACACTCTCTCTCCCCCAATCACCTAAGTTGGGATTATCACACATCTAAAAACTCAACTATCTTACTGAAACTTTTTAAATACTGGGTAATACCTGAGTATTTAAGAGGTTTCCTCAAATGATAACTATAAAGCTAGAAAAAAATTGCAAAAACACTTTGATTCTGTGGTGCTTTGAGTAACCTGAACAATGATTAGGTTTTAATGTATAGTAACTATTGTACTTTGATCAGAATTTTACTTTGAAAATCACTACTAAATCCTTGGAGGAAGAGAAGACATTAAATGAACTGACATTTGAATTTTCCAAGGCAGCAGATACAAAAAAGAAATAATGGTCCTTTGAAGATTCTATTTAATTGGAAAGTATGTATTACTATTTTTCCAGCTACTAAATTTCCTCAGAGGCCTGTACTCTGGGGTAAGGTTCCACTCATGTCAGCACTAAGGTGAGGCCAGAGCCTTTATCTCAAATTTTAAGTAAGCAAACGCTCCCCATATGCCCATGACCCTGAGTGCCTACTTAAATTTTGGGCCTCTGGTACCAAAATATTTCGGTGTAAGGTCATATCTCAAATATAATATAAATTTGGCCAATTTATGTAAATGGCTATATTTATATAAATTGAAAATTTATATAAATTGAATATATAGAGCCAACAAAATGTATACATATTTTAAGAAACGGAAATACCGTATTAAAATTGTAAACCTCAATATATACTGATAACAAAAGATGACTACTGGTCACATATACACATTTTTTTGGCACCCCCGGTATATTTTGTTTACGGTGGTCCACAACTTTACCTAGAATCTGTGAAATGACGCATAAAAAGCCATACGCTACAGGCATTTTGTTACAGTGGGATTATGAATTAATCTGATCAGCAACACGAAGAAATGCATTTCTCTATAGATCTGAGATTCCTAACTTTTAGAGAATTTTAAACCCCTAAAAGTGCGTTTACCAAAACATTAAAGTCGTGCTCTGCAACACCCTGATAGGCAGCAGAAGCGGTGCAAACTCTCAAGGAAGTCTGAGGGAGTAAAAGAAAAAAAATACTGAATCACTTTAAAGACAAGTGAACTGGCCAATACAAATTAATATAAACCTATTAAAACGCCTGAGCGAACACTGTAGGGAGAGGTGGGATACGTGGAGAATTTCAGCTGGAGTTCAGTCTGTTCCCGTGCAGACAGGGAAGGGGCCACGAATCACCGCAAGGAAGATGCGGCAAAGCCCACCCGAGTCTGGAGCCAGGAGAGCGGCCGCAGCGAGCGGACTCACGCCCCGTGGCCGCCTCGCCCCGGCCTCCACGCGAGTCGGCGACACGGAGACAGCGCCCCCGCGGAAGTGGTGCCCGACGCGGGGACTGAACTCACAACCGGCGGGGAGCGGGCGCCCTCCAGCCCGCCGCGGCTTCCCCACTCGTCTCCCCAGCGAGGCCCAGCTTTCCGCAAAAGTGGGGAGGGGGCAAAATAGCGGAGGGACTGGACGAGGAAAGCGACACGAACCCTACGTCCCGGCCCGAGAGAGACGCCGGAGGCCGCGCCATCACTTTCCGCGTTCCCCGCGCCAACGCTTGGCTCGCACTCGCCGCAGGAAGAGAGGCGGAGCTGGCGCGGGGGAGGAACTGTAAAAGGGAGGGACGAGGGTTAAAAAAAACACTTTTGAATGAAACAACTTTATTTGTTGCCCGCAGGAGGGACAAACAATGGCAGGCTCGAGGACGCGGAGATCTTCCGGGGACGAAGGCGGGGACAGCGGAGGGCAACGAGAGAAGCGGAATAAGGAAGCGGGCGGAAGGCGGAAGGAGGGACCGGGAGGTCCCAGAGCCTAGGGAGCGGAAAAGGTCGCGGCGGTCGGGTCACGTGGTGGGGTAGTCACGTGAACAGGGAGGCTCGCGCTCCGCGGAGCCTCGAGTTCTATGCGCCTGCGCAGTGCCGGGCGCTGGGAGGGGCGGCAGTGCAGTAGCGGGTCCGCTGCGGGGAGCTGGAGGGTGGCGCCGAGACTGTCTTCCCTGCAGCCAGTTGGTGGAAGCTTGCGCCTTTGGCGCGTCCCTCTTCTCTTCCCGCGGAGAGGTTAGTGCATTGCTTTTCCCTAGCAGCTTTTGTGTTCCTGCGCAGCGGTCCCCCGCCTTTGCTCCGGGCCGCCCCGAACCTCTCGTGTCACAGGCTTCACCGGTACCGCTGTGGACCCCTGCCTTCAACTGACCTTTGGTCGCCTTAGCTGAGAGTAAAAAACACTCAGTCCACAAATACGTATTGAACCTTTTTTTGAGCCAGTGTATAGCAGTAACTGCAAAGACAAAATAATTGAAGCTTAAGAAATTGGAAGGTATGCTCCCAAAGATTAACGCTACTCATCCACTGAATCGTAGCCCAGCTGATACCGTTTTCTTATAGAAAATGTGCTCAAGAACTGGGTAGCTGCTTTGTAGTTCATTCAGAAAAATGTTACGTTGAAGACCTGTGTGCTGGGCCCTATGGCCAGAGGAGACACAGCATGAACAAAAGACAAATCTCAGTCTTCAAGATTACGGTCTACAGGGAAGAGAGACAAATCTATCAGTTCCTTTTCTGTTTTTTCCTTTAGCATTGCCACAGTTTAATATATACAGAGGGTGCCCAAAAAATGTATTAAAATTGCAATACTCAATATATACCGATAACAAAAGATAAATACAAGTTATGTGTATACATTTTTTGGCACCCCCGGTATTTTGCTGATTTACCATGTTAACTGTCACCCCAATGTGATGTGAGGTTCAAATATAGGGCTTTAGTCTATTTTAATTTCCTGTATTTTCAGCAAGTTGAGTGTCTACCACATAAGAACTCAATTCATATTGTATAAGTTAATACATTTAAAATACAAGGTATGCAAGTGATGTTAAATGCAGTGGAGAAGTATACGGAGGAGAAGGAGAGGCTGCTGGTTGTGCGTTTTGAATGAAGTGGTTGGGGAAGACTTCACTGGGTAGGAGACAGTTGAGCAAAGGTCTGAAGGTGCGGGAATGAGGCTTGCAGCTCCCTGGGAGAAGAGCGTAAGGAACAGCAAGTGCAAAGATCCAGAGGCCAGAGCGACTGCAGCAAGATGAGCAAACGACAGAGCTGTAGGAGGTTAGAGTGATGATAAAGGGCCAGAGAATGGGGGCCACACATGCCATTTTAAGGCCTTTGGCCTTTATTTCAAGTGAAATATGAGGCGATTTTCAGTTTTTGTGCAAAGGAAAGATGTGATCCAACTTAAGTTTTCGAAGGATCGCTTCGGTTGCTGTGTTGAGAAGAATCTGTAGGAGGCCGTGCACAGAAGCAGGGAGACTCAATCGGAGGCCATTACGGTACCCTTGGGGAAAGATGGCAACATGGAGCAGGGTGGTAGCAGTGTTGGTGGTAAGAACCAGTCCAAAGAAAGCTAGTGGGATTTGCTGACAGATTGGGTATGGAGAATGAAGGGAGGAGTCAAGACGGACTCCAGGTTTTTGGCTTTAGCAAAGATAAGGATATAATTGCTATTTCATGAGTGGGGGAGACTGTGGGAAGAATGGGGTTTGTAGGAAGAGTTCAGGAGCTGAGTTTTGAGAGAATGAGAGTGGTTTTGAGATAAAGATGTGATTCATTAATGTGTAGATGGTATATAAATCCAGGAGGTTGGGTGAGGTCACCAAGAGCTGACAATAGAGAAGTGGCCCAAATACTGAGCCTTGGCTCATTCCATTCTTGAGGGGATGAGAAACCAGCGAAAGAGACTGAAAGTGCAACCAGTGTGGAAAACAAGTGGTCAGTGTGGTCTTCTAGAAGCCAAGGGAAGAAGGTGCTTCCAGGAGGGTGGGGCGATCAACTGTATCAGATGTTGCTGATAAGTCAGGTAAAACGAAGCCTGAGAAGTGACCATTGGACTTAGAAATGTGGAGGTCGTCAGTAGCCTTGACAAGCGGGTTTTGGTAAAGTGGTAGGGATGAAAGCCTGATTGGAGTGGGTTTGAGAAAAATTAGAGACGAGTTGGAGACAGTCAGTAAAAGTCCTCTAAAAGGAAGGGCGCTCAGAGAAAAGGTGTTGTAGTATATATGGAAGGTGAGATGGAGTCGGGAGAGTTGTTTTCATAAGATGGGAGAAATTAAAGCATAGTTGTATGCTAATAGGAATTTTCCGGGAAAGAGGGGAAAATAAATAGCATGGAAGAAGGAGGGAGGAAGAGCCTAATCCTTCTTTCTGTAGGCAGGAAAGGCTGCCATTCAGCGGGCGGGTGGAGGGCCTGGTTCTGGATAGAGCCAGGGGCAGCCCACCTGTGGCAGCAGAAGGGAAAAGAAAGTACGTATATGGACACAGAAGCAATAAGTAAGTGGGCAGATGGTTTATGGCAGAGAACTTGTGGAAGTTCTCTGACTGCTCTGCCGATCCAAAAGGAAACAAGGTCATTACTGAGAGTGAAAACGGAAGAGGAGGCGTTGAAGGTGTGAGAAGAGAGCCGAGAGGAGAGTATGGTAGGAAATATGCTCAAGATTGGTGAGCAGCATGAAAGGCCCGCCTGAAGCGAGTGGTCACGATTCTAAAGTAAGACCAGGTGGCTTGGTTGGTTGGTTGGTTGTCTCCAGCTGTGTTCAGCTGCAGGCATACAGGTACAAATTAGGTGAGTTATATTTAATTCAGATTGAGGTCGTGTCATGTGGGTATGTGGCAGAGAGAGGGGGGTGCAAAGGATTCGAGGTGTGTGGGGGAGAGAGGTTACAATGGTAGACCATGGAATATAAACTGGATGTGGAGGAAGTGAAGTGGGGATTGAGGGATGGTGAAAAGGTGGTTGGATCGTTGAATTGTAGGTCCTGTTGGATTTGAAGAATTGCTGGAATTGGGTGATAGAAGAAGTGAACTTGAAAGATCAGAGGTGGTGTTTGGAGAGTAGGATGTTTGAAATCGAGACTGCGGGGTTGCAGTAACTGGTAATGACAAGGTCTAGAGCAGTTCTGTCCAATAGAAGTACAATACAAGCCACCGATGGAACAGGTTTTCTAGAAGCTTTTAAAGTAAAACTGATGAAATTAATGTTCATTTACCTTATCCCAATATATCTAAAAATATTTCAACAAGTAACCAATGTAAAAATTACTAAGATATTTTACTTTTTTGTATTTAGTATAAAATATAACATATAAGAAAAGCTTTTCTTATTTTATTGAGCCACATTTCAAGTGCTCAATAGCTACACGTGCCTAGTGGCTGTATACAGCTTGGAGCACATGAGCATGGGAGTGAGTGGCTGAGGAAGGATGGAAGACAAGATAGGTCGGGGGACTTCGGGGCCAGGGGATTCGAAGAATCATGCCCTCCACTGAACTGCATGGGTTTAGAAACCATCAAGAATTACAGCAAGGATAATGGGGAGCATGTGAATTCAATGCTAAAACATCACATAAAGCTGTTAGGGGAACTGAAAATTGAGTGTACTTTTTAATCCTTCAATTTACTTGTGTACAATTAAAATTTCACTTTCCTGAGATGTGTTCTAGTTTTTAACAAAGCCTAAGTATTTTTTTTGTGTTGGACCCCTTAAATGCTACACATCTGTTTTTCCTTGCTGTCTTGTAGCTTTTACTTTCCTTGTCCTGTTGCTTTTAACTTTCTCTGTCCTGGTTTTTCACACAGCCTCCTATGAAGGCAGTCTTTAGAGTTTGGAGGTAAGAATTTCCTAGAAGAGGATGAAAGAATTCGGGTCTGGCTATAAAAATTTCTAAGGTTTTTTGTAAGTAGACTCTTCAATCCAATGGTTCTACTGGATACTACTAATTAAAGGGAACTAATTGGACCAGAACTAAACACAGAATTCCAACTTTTGGAGATATTTTGAAAGCAGCAGGCTCTGCCTCCTAACTATCGCTGTCACTCACCCTTGTCCTCTTCCTTCTAAAGGGAGGTGATACAGTGCAGTGGTTGCCAGTGTTATCTTTGGAATTGGAAAAGCCTAGGTCTTAATTACATCTCTGCATCTCTAAGCCTCAGTTTCCTGACCTGTAAAATGCCTCCTAGGATTATTGTGAGGTAAAGCAGAGCTCTTGGTGGGTAGAAAGTTCTCAGTAAGTAATATCTTGGTCTCTCTCAGTTCCTCCTCTATATCATAACCAAAGATAAGTTTCTTAAACATGCATTTGACCATGTGAGTCTCGCATTGGAAAGTTCTGGCCTCCCCTGCCTATTGATGGATCACATACGATCTGGCCACTGGCTCCTTTCAGCCCTGAGCTGTTAGGCAACTTACTCCTGCCTCCTCCAAAACTGCACCTTGTTTGTCAGATAAACAGCACTGTGTACCTGGGGTGTTTGATTTGCTGACCCCTCTGCCCTTTTGAGACCCAGTTCAAATGTCACCTCTGTGAATATGTCCCACCAATCCCCAACCCCACATGCTCCCTTTCCTGGGCCCAACAGCAATTTGTACATACCTCTGATTTAGTACTTAATCATATTACTCTGTTTTCCCTGCTGGAACTGTGAATTCGGAAATCATTGACTCATACGTGTATCTCCAGCACCAAACGTTATTTTTTGTAAAGAATTATTGTTATTAATTGCCTATGACAGGCTTCCTTTTAAAGAACAAATATACTATAAATAAAGGAGGAGATTACTTACACACACTATCTGTTACCTTTGGAGTGTGTGTGTGTATCTATTTATCGTGTCCCGCACCCCATCGGCCATGCCTACCCACGTCCTGAAAAGCACCTTCCCCTTTAAGTAGCAGCTTCAATCTTTTTGGGAACTTTTCCTGTCTCATGTAGAATTAAGCAAGCTCCTAGTATGCTTCCTTGTACGAGAGATCCTTGGTAGGGCTTGGACCGTTTCCTCTGAACTATAATGAGCAGTTGAAAATGCCTGTCTACCCCAGGAGCCCATTGGCACCTTGATGGCAGAGCCCCTGTCCTTTCATGGGAATGTCCCTGGCCCTCGCTTGTAAAGAATGAATAAATTTTGAATAATTTATAAGTACAGATTTTTTTAAATGATAAGGAAGATCCCATCACTCTACTTGTCTTTTTAAGGTCCTTGTCATGTCAATAGCTTTATAATCTTGTAACATTCCAGAAAGAAAGCCAAAGGTTGACTAAGGAAAAGTGGAAATACTTGTATTTACTTTTTTAACCTTTTTTTTTTTTTTACTAGACTTAGGTTTAGGTGTATCTGTTTTGCAAAATTTTTGCAGAAATATGTGTATTACCTAGGAAAAAAATATGTATTTTTTAAACATTAAATTAAAAAAGCTTGAACTTTGAATTCTTTTTCTTTTAGCTTGGGATGTGGTGATGTCAGCGAGACTTCTCAGAGCCCTGGCCGGATCTCACTGTATTCTATCAAAAGCATGCCACTGCCAAACATTTGTTCATCAGACAGTAAAACCACTTAAGGAACTTGAGAGTGCAACACGTTGCACCTGGACAAGAAGCCCAAACTTGGACTTGTTCTTTCCTGGTACATCAGCTGGTGGTTCGAATAAGACCCAGATTCTGGAAATGAACCGGAACCCATCACAGACGGGCATATTCTATACAATAAACACTGCATATCGCCAAGATGAAAAAGCACACCTTCCAACCAGGAAGTCTTTGGGCACTCAGCGGAAAGTGACTCACAAACCAAATCTATTAGGCTCTAAGTGGTTTATAAAAATATTAGAGAGGCATTACTCGTCCACACCACCAGAAACACTTGTTTCTAAACAAGACTTGCCGCAGATCAAGAGACCACTAAAAGCCTCGAGGACCAGGCAGCCATCCAGGACCAACCTTCCAGTTCTGTCTGTGAATGAGGTAAAAACGTGTGGTGGTGGCACTTGTATTTCACAATAATCACCCTCTAAACGGGTGCTTTGCAGCATAGCCTTCCTGCGAGCGTAAGAGAACTGGTGGCCCGCGCGCCTTTTTTTTCATCAAGATCTTTGAAGCCTATTAGTAAAACCTGTTACAGTCAAAGGGAATCAAAATCTTAATTTTGAGAATTAGTGATACGTCTAAAGACAAAATATAGGCTATTAAATGTAAAAATAACAGTTTGTGAAAGGGTTAGTTATTGGCCTTCTTTGAAAAAGAAGACTGTCAAGTCCAGTCTAGCAATGGTACTGTAAAAAACACCCATTTAAAAAAAAAAAAACTAGAAATTCTTTATTAAATTAAAAAAATGTTTGGCAGCTCTGCAGACAGGTGAGCTTGGTGACTGCATGGCATGGGGTAGTGAAATGACAGGGCATGGTAGGATCAAAAGGCAGCGAGGAGGTTTTTGCCTTTCTATCCTTTGAAGGTTGAAGGGGGTATTTTTATTCACTATTACAAGGTTTTTGGGAATCTCTCAGCTATAATCACCTTTCCCTCCTGTATGATAAATATTTAGAGTCAGGATCAAATCCTTTGTTAACCTTTGTATCTTGCATAATACCTAGAACTGTGCCTTATACTTAATAAATGTTTATTAAGTTGGAAAGGATGGAAGAGACAAAGGGATTTATGCCTGTAGTCCTCAGCATTAAAAGTAGGAATGTAGAATATTTAAAACTTGATCAGGCCTGCTGAATCTATTGGAAAACAGAAAATGTCTTTCTGAGAATCTTGATTCTGGGGACCAGACCCTGAGAATGTTTCATTTGATTATGTTTTGGTTTGGTTTGTTTTTTTTGGGTTTTTTACTGTACAGTTGACATTGAAAAGGTTTACAGACCTTCACTACTCATCCTCAGGTTATGAAGTTAGGGGTTGATTGATGATTTGTATTTTGGATTCTAGTTTTGTCTAAATTCTTGTGTGGTTTCTCTGAACCCAGATATTAAGGATGGAAGAGTTTCACTTGTACTGCTCTGTTTCTTCTTCCTAGTGCCAGACTTTTGGTTATATTGTTTAGCTTTGTGATAGTCTGGGAAATTCAGAATCTCAGTGACTGAAATGAAATTAAGTACAGAAACCTGAATTCATGGCAGATACAAAAAAGAAGAAGATCAACTCCCTTTTTTTCTTTTGTTATATCTAGCAGCACAGAGCATAATCGGGTTTCTTACAAAGATACTGATAAGGTCAGAGATGGCACTTTTTTTGTAGTTGTCGGTTGTAAACTATCAGAGAGGCATTATTTCTCTGGGCTTTTGTTAGACATTGAAGCAGTTTTCCTGAATTCCACTTTTTATTTTTCTGTAGGATTTTTTTTTCTGTTTCCAGGAAAGGACTTGCAGTAGATTTTCAAAATTTAGCATAGTTTCAAATGCGATAATAAACGCATTACACTTAACAATGGAGCAAGCAATTGACATAAACAGAGAAATAAATGTTACCGAGTACCTGGTATGAATAACTCATTTAGCTGAACATTTAGTTGTAAGCATCCCAATGATTAAAGAAAGGAGGAAATCCCCCCTGAGTTGTATATTTCTGTGGTCTGACAGGGGGGAAAAATAAGTAAAAATGTCCTATGAGAACTTTCACCATCACCAAATTTAAGGAGTCATTTATTCCCTGGGTCCTTATATATAGGAGAGTTATGTAACATAATTGATGTGACTTCAGTTGGAGTTTTGGAAAAACAGAAGCAGTAATGTTGTCTCTCTAAAAGCACGGGAAAATGATAGAAAGTTTTACATTTCCAAAAGCATTTCTAAAGTGCTCTGAGGTAATATAATTTTGGAACATTATTTTTTGGTGATCTTACTTTCCATTGGTGAACACCTTCGACATGTGACTAGGTTCTCCCCATGGGGTGGAGACGGGCTTTTATCTGCTCCAAAGGAGGTCCCCTCCGTCTCCTCTCCGCATGGGCTCCCTGGGCTGGCAAATGCTTTGTGGTGCAGTTGGCCTTTCTGCCCCGCCGGACTGAGACAGGAAGGGACTCTACTCATACCGAAAGCAGGCATGCTTTGTCTCGTTGCCCACGTGTGCCCCTGAGCTGCCCTCTCCTGCCACACAGCGTGCTCTTGGAATCGATGAGATGAGGTTAATCACCCCTGTATGCGAATCCACTCTGCCTGGTCTCATTGGCAGAGGTCATAACCTGCTGACATACTCAACCCCCATCCCGTTGGCTCAGAATTTCTCATGGCAGCCACAGTGTTGTTTGTTGGTGTGTCCTGTTTTTCAGGAGGAGGAAGCCAGAGCATAAGGACTACTGTCCTGTGCAGCATGGGCCCTGACATGAGAGAGAGAATGCTGGAATGCCCAGAGGTGGTTTTCAGATAAACACCACAGTGTGTTGTAAATTTAACTAGTGGGTTATTAATCTTTTTTTTTTAATGAAATAGAAAGTATCAAAATGCATTAGTCATGGTAAAGGTAAATATTGTTTTGGGAAGCTTTGTGTCAGTTATAGGTGTGTGTGCACATGTGTATATATCATATGTGCTGTGTATATGAAAGGATTTCTCACCATGGGTTGTGGAAAAAAACTCTTAAAAGCTAAAGCATCGTACTAGTAATGTAAAATGTATCCGTGTTTAATGACTTGCACCTACAATCTGCGAAACAGGATCAACATGCATTTTTTCCCTTAGTAATTTAGAAGCAACATTGCTGTAATGCATTAACATTCTTCAGTAATAGAATGTGAATGAAAATAAACTTTCTCTTTTAAGACAAGTGTTCCATCCGAGTGTGCAATGCTCTAAAACAAGAATCATACAGAGATTTCTAGCCCCATCTGCTGGAACATGTTCTCTGTGGCCCGAAAAACACATACTGAAATGCATTGGTTTTCTTGGCTTTGGGTTGTTTTGTTTTATTTTTAACATTTTAAAATAGAAAGGCCTAAATTTAGGTCTTAAATCCAGTAACTATTTTAGGCTGGTTTGACAATTTATTTAAGAACAAGTTGTTGAAACCCATTTTAAAACCTGAAATTTGGTGTGTGTGTGTGTGTGTGTGTGTGTGTGTGTGTGTGTGTGTGTGTGTAAAATGCTTAATAAATAATGATTCATTATAAAAATGCAGAAAAAAATACATGAAAATGAAAGTCTCTCTCAAAGTAACACCTTTAATTAATAGGGAATAAAATGCAGACAAGACACTTCATGGTCCTTTTTCCCTTTACCAAATGGATTTAAATACAGCCTTGGAATTTAAACACAAAGGAAATAAAACCAAAAAAAGATATGTCTACCGAGTCAAACTGAAAAACTTTGTGAATCATTTATTAATAGAAGAAGCTATAACTTAAACAGAGACTCAGATCCAAAATGTTTAAGGAGGAGATAGAAAGTAGTGTGGCAAGCCATATAAGCTATGTGACATTGGCTAGAACATTGAGCCAAACTAAATAAGACATGGTGAAAGAGGAAATGTGACATTCTTCAGAGAATCTGCAGAGAAGATCCTTGGAATGGCTAAGGAAAAACAGCTTGCATTTTAAATTTTATTTATAATCTGACTATTTGGAGCTCAGAATAAATTTTCTCATGGAAATAGTGATTAAATGCCTTGCCTTTCCCCGTTTTTGAGAGCGCAAAATAGTATAAATTTTCAGCACAGATGGGCCTGGTCAGTAACATAAATGGTGGTGAAGCAGGCATGAGACAGCAGGGAGTGGGAGGGGCTGCGTGGGCCAGAGAACCAGCGCCCCTCCCTCAGCCCTCGTCAATTGTGCCAGATCTTCCTCTTGAGCAAAAGATGGTGGAAATTTGGATTTTGTGTGAAATCGCGGTTGATTGTGGATAGTTAATTCAGATCTTGAAAGTACTGCGTGAGTCGCCTCCTGAGTTGAGTAGTTCTCTGGGCAGTCAGTCCACCATTCTGATTCTAGAGACAGTTGGGCTCTGCCATTTCCAGTACAGTAATGGGGTCCTCCACTAAACTAGCTCTTGACCTTCTCCTTATTTCCTATCTTCTTTGTGCCTCCTGCTCTTCCCACTCTGGCCCAAACTAAGCATGTCAGCTGTAGCAGTCACGGAATTCTGACATCCAGTCTAATATACTGTGATTTTTGCTTTAGCAAGCTTCAATAAATTTGTGCAGTTTCCCAAAGTCGGGCCTGCCTACCCTGGCCTTACCTGATACCTCTAACCAGGATTCCTTTCTTTTATCCAGCTTAGTCTCATATCCTGTCAGCTCTTTTTAATTCCGTGGAGCCTTAAAAGAACATAGTGCTAGCAGTTCTAAACCATAAGCAGACTGATTCTTTTACTCCAGTAACTAGCTAGTAAACTATCTGTACTTTGGCTGCATGGATCATGTTTTGTGTTCCTGCCTTCATGTGACCATGGGACTCAGCTTATCAGGTAGCTGGAAAAGGAGGGTGCTACGTCCATTCAGCCTCATAGTCAACAACAGCTTCAGCTTTGTCTGGCGCCTTTTTTTTTTTAGGTGAGCCATCCTGCCACCTGTTGGCAGCTCAGCAGCTGCTCAGCTTGGGCCGGGACTCGAACCGCTGTTGCTCAGAGCTCACACTCTTGAGCGAGCTCTTAACCAACTGAGCCACTCGGCCGGCCCTGGCTTCTATTTTTTTTCTAATTCAATTAAAACTATTTTGTGTATGAGTAGATATTTTATTGCTTTTAGGTTTTTCAGTTTATGAGTATCCTTGGGTCCTCTGTTAATTTCTCTACTACTTTTTAAACGACACACTAGAACTGTGTAACAGATTGAAGGAAAAGACAAAACGGTTAGGCCATTTCTTGAGAAAGGGCAAAGAGTGACAAGTAGGAGGAAGGAAGGAACTAATATACTACTTTTCTTAAATTTCATACTAGGAGTAGTGGAACGGAAAGGGAAAGAATTTAAAAGGAGCTGAGATGAGTTAATAAAGCCCAGGAATAAATGACTCATAAACCTCCTCTGACCAATGAGGACCAAAGCACCATGTGTATCAAAAGATAATAGATCACTAATATTCTGATGAGTAAATATTAAAAACATTATGAACATGTGAAAATTCAGATGTAGTTGCTTGATAAGCATTTTCATTTCCCATAAATTTTGATGGTTTAAACATATCTTTATGCCCAATAATAACCTACAAAATGTTGAACGTTTGTGCCTGTCGTGGTTCTGAGCAGATGACATTGATCGGCTTATTTAAACTTCACAACAATCCTATAAAGTAGGCATTATTCTTATTCTGATTTTTTAAATTAATCAAATTCTCTGCCTGAGCTCTCAGCGCCTGTGCTGATAGCTTTTGAACTTTATTGACCCCATCCTGAAGTGAGAAATGTATTTTGTATTATACATCCATACCGACTCTGTGGACTCTGTGTACATACTTACATGTATCTAAGTGATAGAACACATCATAAAAATTTAACCTTATTGTGAATAATGTATTCTAATATTTTCTATTTTATTTTCATTAGTATTTTTTCTGTTTTTTTAAAGCTGATTTGGGCCCACCAAGCTGATATCAGGACTCACTAATCGGATGTGTGTGTGTGTGTGTGTGTGTGTGTGTGTGTGTGTGTGTGTGACTTACAGTTGGACAAAAACACTGTGTGGTGCCGTGTTTCCATATGTGTGTGCTGTAGAGACACAAACCATGAATGTTTACCTGTATACACAGACAAGACACAGTGCAAGAACAAAAGCACTAACCAAACCTGGATGCATTCTCAGATTTACAGAACTTTTCGTTTAATATTAACCAGAGTAATAGTTCTGTAATTCCTTTGTAGATTTATAGTGATCTCTGCCTGTACAAGGCTAGTGACAAGCTGTCAAATAATAACGTTGCTGTGAAAAAGAGTCATGGAAACTCAGGGTTGGAGAGACTTTTTAAATAGCATTTCTTCCGGGCACCCATATGATGCTTTAATTCTCCCTCATTTGCTCAGTCTGTGCTTGAAATACTACCAGTTGGGGAGCAGCTCCCCTGATGGTCCATTGTGTATTTCTGGCTAGCAGGAGAAAGTTCTTTCATAGATTCTGCTGAAATCTGTCTTCCTGTTGCTTCTTTCTCCTCATCCTTGACATACCCCTTGGATGAGTCTTTGAGATGTATGAAGAAAACGCTCCCGAGTGCTAGCTTTGCAAGATGGAGTCCTGTAAGGTGACAGCAACCATTGCAGACACTTAGCCCCTTGCTAACCCATGTCATGCTAATCTCGCTGAAACAGGACCTGATGCACTGCACAGCATTTGCAACTGCAGATGAATATCATCTTGGAAATCTGTCTCAAGATCTGGCCTCTCGTGGATATGTGGAAGTAACAAGCTTGCCTAGAGGTACATCTTGAACCTGGGGCCAAGTATGTTAAAATGTACTAAGAAAACAGTTTTCCTGAGATACGTTCTTAAATATGCATTTGCTTAAGTTTCATTTTCTATTTAAAGGATTGCATCAAAACAGTGGCTTTGAATCTCTTCATACAAATGACATACAAAGATAAAAAATTAAAATGTATCTGCAGAGAACTCAGGTTTCAGATTACAGTCATTAAGGTCTATTAAGCTTTATAGCATCAGTATTACCTGGGATAATCAAAGGCCATGACATTTCTTTTCTATCAGATTAAAAACTATTAACAGAAGAACCCGGAAATTGATCAAAATGGTGAGGAGAGCCTTTGAAGAAAAATTAACCAGTATAATCCAATACTTTAAAATTCACAAAATTAGTTAAAAGGTAAACACAATATTATAAAGAGAATTAAAATGAACCGAGAGTATTAGAATAGTATCAGGAAGGATTCTTGGAAAAAACAACCTGCTTTATATTTAAAAATAAGTAACTTGGAACATTTTGGTGGAAATTCATGAATTTACCTCAAAGTAGCAAAAATAGCAGGTTGAAAACCTCTTGGCTATAGAAAAAATTCTTAAGAGCAATTGACCCCATAAGAAATAGTGGAAATGTCATTATGCTTTTTCAGCCTTGATGATCTGAACAGACTATTTGTGCTATTTGATGGCAGAAACAAACATAATTGAGTTAGAAAAACAGAGCTATGTCCAGGGCCCCTAAGATGAAAAATTGCCCAGGGGTGTCCTTGGCTGTCGGGCAGGGCGGCCTGTACACCGCATACTTGGGGGCTTCTTACCAGTGTCACTGGCCTGAGTCTTCCGTTTCCTCTATGTTGCTCTTGGCTACATAGGTGAACTTGGCCCTCGTAGGATATATAGCACTTGGGAAAGTTAGATTTCACTCAAAAAAAGGTTTTTTAGGATTTGGTTTCTATTTGAGCCCCTCATCCCCCAACCTGTACCAGGAATTCTGAAACTGTGAAGATCCTAATTTTAGGTTAGGAAATTACATATAACTTTTTATGTATTACTATTAGTATATTTATTAATATATTAATATATTATTTATTATTTATATTATAGAACATTTATATACTTATAACAAATGTCACTATACTAGTATATAAAGCAACTTATTGATTATATTAATATATATTTGATAATATTTAAAAGGTTAAAATGTTTAAATGATACAGATGACTACTGTGGTAGTTTTCATAATTAACTTTGAAATCAGATATGTTTTGAAATGGTCAATATCTTTATTTGTGTATATTTTCTATTCAAAATTTACACAATGTGATTTAAAATTCTGCAGAATTAGTAGTTTGAGAATTATATTATTAGTACTATGAGAATTATATTAACATATAAAATTATAAAGAAAATTGTATTTTATTAGTTACAATAATAAAATTGTATTTTATTGTTAATGGTTCTTCAAATTTTATTTTAATTTTGTAGAAAGAAGTTTACTTCTTGAGCCATAGTTGTATTGAAACTAACACTTTAATAATTATTAACCAGGATAGAGATTACTGAATCAAAATGGGTGTGAATGAACAGTTTCAAATAGCAGAATAATATCACAGTTGTTGAATGTTTTGTGAAATAATTTCATATGATCCTTTCATCTTCATATACTAAATACTTTCAGAAACCTTAGAAAGATGGACAGTGTGTTATAGAGTGCTTAATGGTATATGGAGAAATGATCGTAAGTTCTTGGTTAAAAGTATATAGGTGATTCTTACACCTTGTGTCACCTCGTGACATAGGTTTTTAGTCATTTATTTTAAATCACAGATGCAGCAAATATTTTGGTGATGGGTGTCAAAAATTCTGCAAAAGAAGGGGATCCTGGAACAATATTCTTCTTCAGGTAAGACAAACAAGAAACCCCACTGGGCGATGGGGGCTTGCGGTCAGGTCATGTGGTCTTTAAAGTTGCAGGTCTACCCCCTCTGTCAGCAGGAAATGTGCTCAAAATTTGTGATTTAAATTTATCTTTCGATTCTTATTTTACCTAGGAGGGTTTGTCAGTTTTAGGAATCTTCTGGTAAGTCCTCTTATAAAATGAAGGATTTTTAAAACCAGTAAATAACCTTCCCCTGGCTTGTCTCTATTTGTAAATCTGGGTTTACATTTGCGAAGTGTATGTAGAGAATCCTATTTCCCTCTTGTCTTCAATGCCCCTTCCCGGGCTTGTGCCACCTGCCCTGCTATCTTCCTTTTCTTCCTTCTCCCTCTGGAGCTCTTTAGCTAAAGTTTAAGCCCACTTTACCTGTCCAGAGACTTCAGACCGGAACCCTGACTCACATTCTTTTATTTAAAGCTTGTTTTAATATCAAATACTACAGAGTAGCTGAGGGGAAGGGTCACAATAATAAAAACCACGTAGAGTAATTTCATGTTATCCTCACAATGCCTAAGACGGCCTGTTACTCCCCTTTTGCAGCTGAGGAAACTGAGGGTCTGAGGGATTGCGTGAATTACCCACAGTCGTAGGACTAATAAGTGGCAGAACAAACAAATGGAACATCCGTAAGAATGCAAATTTTGATAAAGTGTTTCTGGTCTTTGTCCTCCTTGTAGTTGATGATAACTGGAAGCTATATTGTTGTTCCTGTCGACACCTCACCTTGCTTTTGATGTTGCTTTGGAGAGAATCCAGAGTTCAACATTTAGTCCAAGTAGAATAGCGTCCCCTTTGCCTCAAGTGAGGAGTTTGGATTTCTGAAGTCCCCTAGGTCAGTGCCATCCATTGGAAATTGAGTGCAAGCCACAAATGCATGCCTCATATGCAGTGATATGTTTTCCAACAGCCACAAAATTTTTTAAAGTTAAAAAAAGATGAGTTTAATTTTGAACAACACTAATAATAAATATTGCCTGAAGCTAAACTTTATAGTGTATTTTATTTAACACAACATATCTAAAATAGTATCATTTCCACATGTAATCAGTCAATAGTTAATGAGATTTTACATTCTTCTTTTCATACTAAGCCTTGGAAACCTGCTGTGTGTTTTACACTTAGCAAAGCCCCTCTCTGTTTGGACCAGACTTATTCCAAGTGCTCAGTAGCCGCACGAAGCTTCTGAGCGCCATACTGCACAGCCCAGCTCTAGACGGAGGGCGCACAGTTCCTGAGACCTGTCTGCCTAGAAGCAGTACCCTGAACTAATCCTCTGACTGTAGCTTTAAACGTCTCTCAAATCCATATCCTGAGACCCTATGCTGGCCTATTGCAACAGTTTGCTACCTGGTCTCTTGCCTGTCTTCTCACCCCACCACTAGTCTGTTCATGTATTATAGGCAGGATAATTTTCCAATGGGTAATTCTGATCACTGTACTCTCGTGCTTAAAATTCTGTGGAATTTGACCAAACTCTTCATCACAGCACCAAGTTCCTTGCGGGGTTGGCCTCTCCCTGCCGCTAATCTGATTGCCCTCTACTTCCCCCCATCCACAGCCATTCACACTCCTGGCTGTTTGTTCTGGGATGTAGCCCTGTCCCTCCCGCCTTCTCTCTGAGCCCAGGCTGTGCCCTCGGCCGTGTTGCCTCCCGTTCTCTCCTTTGACCAGCTCTGCTGGTCCTTTAGGAACTGTGCCCCTCCCGTGTACATCCAAGTATATTCTGCATAATTCTGTTATAGCACTGATCACACTGTATTGTAATTGGTGGTCCAGGTATCAATGGTCTTTTCTAGATTGGGAGTTCCTTGAGGATAGGAACTAGACATACTCATCTTTGTAGCTCAGATGCTAAGCACAGACTCACATATATATTAATACTAAGCACATTGCTTAAGAAGTGTCTGAAGACTGGTATGGGGCCAACATATTTTCACTTTTCTTTCATTTCTACCTTTCCTTCCTCCAGTGCAATAACCCAGAGCCATACCCCATTTTTATTTACTACCTGAAACAGCTCAACACATCAAACTTCAAAAATCAAAATAAGTTCCTTTATAGTTTTTAGGCCGTAAGTTCTATCAAAGCCAGACGTGGATTCACAGGGCCTCCTGTGGCTTCACTGTAATTGTGCCGTTAGCATCGTAAAGATGGGTGGCTTCATCCTATAGGTGCCTTTAGCCATCAGAGGCTTTAATTCATCTCGCTCTCTGTATTCCACAATTATTAAAAGCATGACCCTTTGTTCTTCTGCAGCAGGATCTGCCTAGTGAGAGCTAAGATAGACCTCAAAAATGTCCTTATTGGGCCGGCCGAGTGGCTCAGCTGGTTAAGAACTCGCTTGGGAGCACCAGCTCTGAGCAGCAGGGTTGCAGTTCAGATCCCACATTGAGGGCCAGTGACGCTCGCCCTCTACAGCTAAGATGGTGAACAACAGCTCAACCTGGAGCTGAGCCACTGTGAGTTGCCGGCGACGGCATAGGCTGCAGCAGGACTGCAGTGGGTTGCCGTAAGCTACGTGAGTGGCTGGCAGCTGGTGTGAGCTACCAGGAGCCGCTGTGAGCGGCCGACCAATGACCGGCGACCTATTGCCTCACCCAGGAAGAGCGCAATGATAATACCAACATGGGCCAGTGAAGCGACGTCCTCCACAACTAGACTGAAGAACAAAACAGCAATTTGTCTACGTGTCTGTTCCCCTTCCCCGATTCCCCAATAAAATCTGAAAAAAAAAAAAGTCCTTATTCTGATTTCTGTACATCAGAATTGAACCAGGTATGAAACAGTATAGATACATGATATAGTTACATAGTATTACAGTAATTATTTGTTCTGCAAACCTTGAATTTTGGAGAAGTCAGGTTTTATCAAGAGTTCAAGTACCTCTTATTTTGGCAAATCCATCTGGGAACTATAATGTTCAGTCAATAATACATCGTATATTTTTTAATTGCATTCTGGATACATTCTAGAAGTTATCTAAACAAAGCTTTATGAATAGCCTTAAAGAATGTATTCTACTGTTAACTTAGTTGATTCTTTTATTCTTTTAAATCAGGGAAGGAGCTGCTGTGTTCTGGAATGTGAAAGACAAAACTGTAAGTATAAATAAAGTGTAAAAATTTGGTTTCCTCAGAATAAATTGTTAACTAGCACTCAATAATCTGAGCCATTAGAAGAAAAATTAACAGATAATACACAACTTATTTGCTCTGTATTAGATGATATTTATCCTAGCAGCTTCATCTTCTAATTTTAATTTCCTACGTTTTCCGTTCTCTGTGCATACACAAATTTGTGGAAAATCAGAACAGTCCTGGTTACACTGCAGATGGAAAGAAGTATATTTCTTACATGATAATCTACCAAATGAATCATGTACACACAGTTCACGGGAAGCTGGCTGCTCTGAGTCTTATTTTTAGATCAGTTTTCTATAACTTTATCACTCACAGGAAATCATTTCTTCAGTATCCCAATCTGGATGTGTTTAACACAACCTTTTTAGAGGCATTTTGATAATACACATCAAAGCTTTATATTTAACTCAGCAATTCTTCATCTAAAAAGTTATCTAAAAATGTTCGTATGCACAGTATGATCCCATTTCATATAATAAGCAAAATAAATGAACATACACAGAAAAAATTCTGGAAGGCCGTGCGCCACGTTTAATGGTTACCTTTGCGGGGAAGGAGTTCAGGAGAGCAGAGAGATTGTTGCTTTTTACACCTTTGTGTTGTTTAAATTTTTTGAAGTATGTTACTTTTACATTTTAAAAAAGATTTAAGGAGTACAAACCATAATTTTACTAGTGGTTTTCTTTGGGTTGTGGGATAATGATAATTTTTATTTTCTTCTTTATGCTCACCTGTGTTTTACAAATGTAAAGACAAATGAGTATATCTTTCTGATGAGTTTAATATCACAATCAAATTGCTCTCTTCTTAAAAACTTAACAGAAGAAATGTCATCAAATGTAATGAAAATGTATTGACACTGTAACATACTTCTGTGCGAAGGAGTCAGGTGCACTATCAGGTTAATCTTCCTTTTCTTCTAGATGAAGCAAGTGATGCAAGTTCTAGAAAAACATGAAATTCAGCCCTATGAAATTGCATTGGTACACTGGGAAAATGAAGAGCTTACCTATGTAAAAACAGAGTAAGCAACGTTTTATCAAATTTACCAAAGGGGCACGTGGAATAACGAGGTAAAACAGTAGAGGGGATAAATGACTTATAAATTTGGAGACTAATTTTAAGAAAAAAGTTATTGGTATAAAAACAAAACCTAAACAATACCATAAATAGAAGTGGATAGACGTTATTGTTTTTGCCTTCTCAGGCTACCCATAAATTAAAACAGATAGTATAACCCCAAAGTGGTAAGTCTCCTAAGCAGCCTAAATCAGTAAAATAGTATGCCTTTATCAGAATGAACCTGTCAGATTGGTCTAGTAAAGTTCTCTTAAGTAAACCCATTTTTTCCCTCTTGATTATGGGTTTAACAAGGAAATATAATGATGGGGTGGTCCAAGAGAACCACCTGTAGAAATGGGGTGCTTGTAAGAAGTGGGGTCCTGACACACTATTCTCAGGTAGGGGACTCCTGCTAGCGGATTCTTGCCTCTGCAAGGGAGAAATGAAGAGATGTTAGGGCAGAAAGAGAGGGCAGCAGGAAGAAGACTGGAAGGTCTCTCCTCACCGAGTTACGTGTCTAGTGGAATAGGAAAAAGTCTCTGTGTGAAAAAAGAAAGTGATGAAAGGCGAGCTTTAGGAACATTTGGAAGAAACACTAGCTGTGGAAAGACTAGATGGGATCTGAGCTAAGTAATTACAGCCAACAAAATTACTTCCTCACCTGTGTCAGGCGCTGTTCTGACTGCTTTTCACCCATCATTTCATTGAATCCTGACAAAAACCCTGTAATTGCAACTAACTTTCAGAGGAGACAGAGATGTCCCATGTCGCCCAAGGGCTCCTGGCTAAGTGAGTGAGGGCCTGGGCCCAGCATGGTGACTGCAGCGACTGCAGTGGAAAGCGAGGATGTGACCCTGGAAGATACAACAGATGAGGCGCTAATAGAATTTCATTAATTATTAAGCACTTGGTCTTGTGGTTATCGTTCCCATAAATTCCTCTTTCGTGCTGTCCTTCCAGATCAAACTGTTACTCACTAGGTTCTCTCGCTCTT